CCAAATTTTATCGTCGCATGTAATTTTGTTGTAAATTGTTTTTAGGGTTATCTTAAAAACTATTTGCATATCTAATTAGGAAATTTTAAACTCCAAAATGGCTAAAATCAAACATATGAAAATCTTGAAAATGGACGGTCTAGATGATGTGTTGCAAGATGCACTATTTTTGGGACTCAAAAACTTTTTTTTTTTTAATATTCATACATCTCGATTTCGAGATGATCAATTAGAGATTTTTCAACATTAAAACAGCCTTTCCGATAGATTTTTGAGGTGCATCTGTGATTCTACATTTTAAGGTTGCAACCTTATATAAACTTTTCCCTTGTTATATGTTTATATTTTGTCAAAAGTATATATATATTTTTTGTCTAAGTCATGTCTATATTTCTTATAAAGAATATCTAGTCATTGAATGCATATGACATACATATTCATACTACTTTTTAATTGTCTTGTGTGGTTTACACACGACAATGACAGCTGTCATCTATCTATCCTATTAAGAGAAATATGATGCAGGATAGGATGCTTTTTACATTGAATTTTCACATTAAATGTTAGGGATGTATTTTTTGGGATTTTCAGATTTTATATTAGGCTTTTTAAGTTTTTAGGGATTTTAGTTTGGTTTTTAGGATTTTAGCATTGTTAGAAAAACTAGTTAGAGTCCTATAATTATTTATTTTATCTGGGACAAAAAATGTCATTATGAATTTTAATTAGGACTTTTGATTCAATTAGAATTAGGATTTCTTGGGTTCTAAGTAAGGTGTTTTATTAGAAGAGGGGTTATCGTAGGGTTTTTCTTTAGGGTTGATTATTGTTATTTCAGAAAATTGTTCTTAAGAATTTTATTGAATTCACGGAACCATTGAAGCTAGGCATCTTAGCTTCGATTAACTTTCAATCAATACATTATTTCATTGATTTCTTTTGTGTTAGATGAATTTGCATCAAAAGATGCATCTCAGCATTTGATTTTCTATAAGGAAATAGCTAACTATAGTTTCTCTCCCCCTGCCCATCTGTATTTCTATGCCTCTAGGTAAATCTAGTGCCACAAAAAATGGTTGTTTTCCACAGAACAGTGAATTTGTTATTTCCTCAAACCCATTGGTTGTTTTTTCTATAAGGAATCAGAGCTCGCCATATCTCTCTTGATACCATTATTTGTATGCCTCTTTGTAAATCTATAACCATAAAAAGGAGGGGATTATTATCTTCTCATACCCATCTTAATCTCTCTCTAGAGTCTCCCACAAGATAAGGATTCATGATCCTCTCTTGCCTTTCTCTATTCCTCTCTATTCCTCATTTCCTCTTAGTCTAAATGCCACATGAAAAGGGATTTGGTATCTCCTCAACTCCATCTATCTATACAGATTCCCAACCAAAAAAAAAAAAAGGACCAATGATCCTCCCTCTCCTTTGCGTCCGTCCATGGAACATACAGACTGTAGACTAGTAAGAAATTATATTCTCATCATTAAAAGAAGGAATTTAATTCTATTTTTAGTACAAGTTAACAACACTCATGATCAGGTCAAGGGATACACTTAATGGAGGCAGTGTGTTTTCAAGAACTTGTAATCGGGACAGTCATCTCTTTAAAACTGAATCTCCTTTGACTAATGAGTAGGTATGTTATCAAATTATAGATTTTTAAGTGATCCAGTTGTGGGGTATTTGAGAAACAGTTCTTTCTTTAGGTTGTTTCTCTCCCATTGTTGTCTTCTGTACTAAATTTTTTTTTGAGAGAACTCTTCTGTACTAATTTTTATTTTTACCGTCCTACAAGACATAAATATGGATTACTTAAATAAGCTTGATGTAGGATCTCTGAAGCCATTGCCAGTCCCATGCCCACATGAGAAAGGAGGAGGTTTGTAGCTAGTGAAAAACTTTTGCAGCATCCCTATCATGATGACATAGGATCTTTGGAGCTTGTGAAACTTGTTATATGTCAAATCTACTTTTGGAATATATTACTTCATTCCTTCCTGGTTTGTATCCAGGGTTTCTAAAAGTCTTTAGGAAGCGTGACTTGCTGTTAAATATTCAATATGCACATTTTGGTTCTGATTTCTCCTTCTCTTCTCATTTTGGGTGAAATTTGACTTTCATACTTGTAGGAATAGGTCTGCTTTCCTTGTACCATTTTGTTGCTCCATACATGATGTTTATTTTTTCTTAATTGTCTTCTGTATTATTGGTAGAACTGATTTGTGTGTTAAATTCAAGTCATCTTCATAATATTTGTCTGTCCAGTCTTATTAACATAATGTAATACTTTCAAATAATCTTCTGGAATTTGGTTCTCTATCTCAAAATGGCTATATATATAATTTCAGTGTACACATAATTAAAGCTAGTGGGGTTTTCAGGGGACAATATTGTTGTGGTGGAGAGCCCTTTTGGACGTCTTGGTCTAACAGTTTGCTATGACTTGAGGTTCCCTGAGCTTTACCAGGAGCTAAGATTTCAACACCTGGCACAAGTATGTGTTGTTGTTGAGCTTAATGTTCTCCAGTTCTATTAGATTATTTGTATAAGATAGTAAATACTCACGTGATCCTTTTGTTGCATTTTATGGGCATTTAAAGGCCATTAGCTCTGAGGTATTTATTTATTTCTTCTACCCCTGTAAATTCTTGTATATAAGTACTTGTGTTTCTTCGGAATTTCTGGTTTTTGAGATCTACAGCTTTAGATTTTGATATGAAATTTATGACCAGGTGTTGTTGGTGCCTTCAGCTTTTACCAGGGTAACTGGTGAGGCACATTGGGAGATTCTTCTTCGAGCACGGGCAATCGAAACACAATGTTATGTACGTGAACAATATGAGTATGCCTGTATTTTCTTGATGTTCTTTGTGAACCTGGAAAAAGTTTATGATGAGTTGTTCCATTTTAGTTTTGTGAAAGTTTCCTGGATGATATCATTTTTAAAGTTGTCATAGGAACATGGTCAGTTCTAAAATGTTTGGGATAAAACCTATAGAACTTCTATCACTCTGGTCTGCATTCAAGTTTTCTTAGTTCTGGAATAAATGCTTTATGTAAGACTGTGAGGATTAAAATTTAAATGTGCATACTGTGTAAGTTCATTATGCCCTAATGGTAGAAAGACCTTACATTCATTGCACTGACATGAGAATATTGGAGTTTTTGGTACTGTGAGATTGATTCAGTCATAAATGCAATCTGTTTTGGTTGTGTATTACTAGTATTCTATCTATAAGTCACCGTTGTCTTTACCATCAAAATTTCAGATCATGGTCATGGTTTTGTTTTTGTAACCTGATTCTTTTAGATCATAATATTATTAAGGCCAGATGGTACTTTATTGTATGTCTATGTCTTGTATGTCTTTTATGATATTTTTCCGATTCTCGAAATGATATTATTACAAATTGCTGGTGTGTTTTCCATTGGAGTTTCTGATCATGGTCATGGATTTGTTTTTATAATCTGATTCTATTTATAGTAATATTAAGAAGCGCAGATGGTACTTCATTGTATCTGTTTGTCTTCTATGTCTTTTATGTGATTTTTCCTATCCTTTATGGGTGTCGACAATACATGCTAGGTGATGGAAACCCTAAGTGAACAAATTTTTGTCTAAAGCTTGTGTGGCGTATTGGTTTTTCCTTATGCTCTTCTTTTTATGATATTTCCTCATCAGTTCTAAACATAAAGTGTATGTGTGTGTATATATATATATAGGAAAATTCTTCCCAACGCCTATAGGCGAAAATGAACAGTGATTTCACCTACCCTCATCACCGTCCAAAGTTTATCGCACGGTCATAATTGTCCGGTAGTGTTTTATTTTTCATTTTTTTTCTACAAATCAGAATGATCTGAAATTTGGACTGTGCGTACATCTTAGTGAGGCGCACCTAATAAAAA